ATTTTTGAGATAGGTTCTAATTTGATTGTTTAGAGCTTTCGTTGTATATAAACTTTTACCTTTGTAGTACATTTTATATTTTTAAACAATTATCCTTATTTTTATTATTCTTTGGAATATCGGTTGCTAGACCTTCGCTGGTACAGTGACCAACCCGATACTAATAACATTGCATATAACATCTTCCTTTCGGAGCATATTGTATATCAACTCCATCAGGTAAACCTCAATTTGGACCATACTTTATAGGCATAGTTTCTTCCAAAACTTTTTAAAATTACACAACTTAACGAATCACTGTTTATTTTTACAACCACGTCTAAGACGGTAGCATTGTTTTGACCCATGTATGAACTCATGATTCTATCTCTCGAAGCTTGAAATTTGAAATTTTATAGAGAGAAAAGTTATGTCAAATTTCAAGTTTTAGAAAGAGACTGTCTAAATTTTTAGAGAGAGAAACTTGTCTCAAAAATTTTAGAGAGATATACTATTGTAAAATTTTAGAAAGAATCGTGGGACTATATATGGGGGAATTTCATCCTAAATAGATCTATTCTCTTCCTCAGAGGTGGATGCAAAATGAAATAGTATTTGCCTTAAATGTGTGATTCAAAAAACATTAAGGGATATCATGAATGTTAGGATATGGATATATCAGGTTCATATTGATATACATTATTATAAATGTATATCAAAGTTACTTGGTCGTTAAGTTAGTTTGGTGATAAGACCTCCTACTATTTACTTATATCTCCAAGAATCATATCATATTTATCTCTTTAATTGTGTGATTGTCTTTTATATATAGAAGTACTTGTTGATGTAAACATTCATTCAAAATAATGACGATGTAGTCAGTTGGGCTTTGGATCTATGGATATAAGGCTTCGGCCTGAACCACGTATATGTTGCGTTATCTTTCTATTTTATGTTCCCAGGAATTATAACATGGTATCATAGCAATAGACTTCTCAGCTCAGATTTGAGCTCGTCAACCCCAGATCTGAGGTCGGGAAATTTCAAGACCAGTTCCTTGATTCGTAGCTTATGATCTATCTCTCTCTCTCTCTCTCTAAAAACTCCGGTTCCAAAGAAATCTATTGAGACTTTTGGTCAGAGGACTTCACAGTACCGTGGGGTTACCAGGCATCGTTGGACTATCCTGAGGATATCAGGCATCATTGGATTCGGGAGAAACGAAGCTCATCTATGGGACAATAGTTGTAGAAAGGAAGGCCAGACTAAAAAGGGTAGACAAGTGTATCTTGGTGGATAAGATAAAGAAGAAAAGGCGGCTAAGGCCTATGATTTGGCACTTCTTATGAAAAGGAGTTAGAGGAGTTGAAGAACATGATGAGGCAGGAGTTCGTGGCCAACTTAAGGAGGAAAAGCAGCGGCTTTTCCAGAGGGGCATTTGTGTACCGTAGAATGACAAGGCATCATCAACGAGGACGATGGCAAGCTCCCATTGGCAAAGTTGCCGGAAACAAAGACCTTTATCTCGGTACGCAAGAGGAGGCAGTTGAGGCCTACGATATTATGGCCATTTACGAGGTGTCTCCGTCGTCACAAATTTCGACATTAGCAAATACTACGTCAAGAGAATATGCTCAAGCACGACGCTGATCGGTGGTGATCTTGCAAAAAAAAAGCAAAATTTTGAAGAAGTAGAGAAGAAAAAAAAAAATGGGTGGTATTTTTTTTAAGATGTGGGCTATTGTATATAAGCCCAATTTCATTGCCATTTTTTTTTTATATCATTGTACTAAAAAAAAACACAAAAATGCATTTTGCAAGTTGGGTGTCTCTTCGCATCCCCACCAAACTTGAGGGGGAGAGTATAGGAGATAAGGAGATGAGATGAGTAGAGATGAAGTCAACATCTCTAATGTACCCGCTATGTGGACAAGAACATCAGTTCCAGTATACGCGTATTTTTCAGTTGTCTCGCGCATTATTTACTCCTAGCACCTCGCCATGTAGCAGAGGACTTCGTCACACCATTGTTGCAGCGACATAGTCAGGGGGAACACATACATTCATGATTAGCTGATTTTTCAAGGATAAGTTTTCACTAACCTTCAGTATTCGTTGCCACTTTATTTGTCGCAGAGCCATCTTTGTTGTGCCTTTGTACCACTTTTAGTGGTCTTTAGACCAAGTTTGGTGTTCACATGTCCCTGATTACATCTTTCGATCTTGCAGACTATTCGAGCACGTCAGTGAGAGCAGTGCAAGTTTCTTTGGCAACTTTTTAGTTTCAAGACTCCAGTTCCAGTTTCAGTTTGATGATCAAATTTTTCGAGCTTGGTTGATGATCAAGTTTTTCGTTACTTGATCCTATTTGATTATAGAGTTTTCCGTTGCTCCATCCTGTGTGATGATCGTCGAGTTTTTCGTTACTCAATCCTAGATCTTTCGAATAAGAGAGAAAGAAAGATCATTTTCTTTAGAGAAAGAAAGATCATTTTCTTTTAGAGAGAGAAAGTCTTTAGAAAAAAAAAAAAGCCTCTAAGAGAAAAGATCTTCAGAGAAAAAAACCCTAGAGGGAGAAAGTCTCTAGAAGAAAGTAGAGAGCCCAATAAATAACGTTTCTTAGAAGACCATAGTAACATGTGCAATTTATCATGGATTTGATCATTACTCGTTTTTTTTGTCAACTTAGTATTGTTCAAACTCTAGCTGCTTTATGTCAAAGCATCTTGGGTTTGAGGGATAGTATTAGGATATGGATATCGTACGTTCATATTAATATATGTATGTCAAAGTTACTTGATCATCAAGAGTTTGAGGGGGAGTGTTAGGATATGGATATATCGGGTTCATATTGATATACAACATTATAGATGTATATCAAAGTTACTTGGTCATCAAATTAGTTTAGTGATAGGGTTTCCTACTATTTACTTATATCTTCAAAAATCATATCATATTTATCTCCTTAATTGTGTGATTGTCTTCTATATATAGAGGTATTTATTGATGTAAACATTAATCCAAAATAGTGAAGAGGTAGTTAGTTAGATTTTGGATCCGTAGACATAAGGCTTCGGTCTGAACCACGTAAATATTGTGTTCTCTCTTCTTCTATCTCCATTCTAACATAGAAAGCATGGTTCAAGGAATATACATAATTTTCCCATATTTGAATTAGTTTCTATCCACTCAAATCTTGCACAAAACTTTGGGGTGAGTATAAATAAAAAAAAATATGCAAATTATGAAGCCTAGAACAATATTTTTTGTTGGAAAGTATTTTTGTGGAGTCACACCTTTATAAAGCTATAAAGGTGTCAATTTCACATCCAATGGTCAAGATTAGTTGTGACCACCTTGTATCAAAGGCACATGGTCTCATTACATACTGCTCTATAGAAAAAGTTTATACAAGTACGAGGCTCTAAACAATCAAATTAGGGCGCACCTCAAAAAGTTTTACTATAATAGGTTGTTTTGATACTCAAATATCCTCAAATTGATAATCTCGACCTCAATATTTATGGACAACAGAAAAAAATAGATTTTAAGTTTTGAATAGTGCATCTTGTAATACATTTTTTAGATCATCAATTTTCAAATTTTCATAGATCTGCTCGATCTACATTATTTTTGAAGCTTAACTTTTATAATTAGTGATGAAAATATATTTTAAGACAAACACAAAGATTTCTACTACTGAAACATTTCATGACACTATTTGAAGCTGCATTTTACTTTGATTGTTTAGAGCCTCAGCTTTATTCAAACCACACCCTACGTTTAAGAGGATTATCTATTATTCTCCTTAGATTTATTGCACCAACTATGAAATGAGAGTGAAACTAAGTCCCCTCTTAGCCTCATTTGCATACACATTCATCTAAAATATCAATTTGGATTGGGAGGCGAGTGCGTTGTTTTCTAAAAAAAATAGTAATGCCAATTTCATGTGTAGTTGTGAACAAACACTATTACTGCAGGACTTCAAATAATTTTGTCATCTCGGCATGGATATCAACAAATATGGAACAATTCTTTTGGAAAATATCTATAGATATATCTTCTAAGTTTTTAGCAAATATTGGTAGATATTTCTCTATATATTGATATATCTTTCACTATTTGCCAAAGGGAATGACAGCCATGGATGATGAGATCATTGGAGACCACAAAATTGCAGAAAAAAATACTATTTAAAGGAAAAAACCCCTTATAAAATTATTATAATTTAATCAAATTTATATTTTTCTCAATTATCAATTCGAAAATTATTTTTTAAATACCCAAATTGCCCCTTTAATGGTTGGGATCCCTAAATATGCAGTCCATCTAAGTTGTTCTTAAAGATAATGTTAGCACTCGACTGATGGAACTAGGTAGCTCCCAATCTTGACCTAGGCCCAGACTCGTACCTAGTCGGGTCCCATCCACTTTCAGTTTTGTTTGTTTGTAATAGTTTTATCATACGGATATAGATTTTTGGGCTTTTGATTTCTCATGTTTGGCAACAGTGTCTAGATTTTCAATGAAATTGTTTTCTTTTGTTTAATAACCTGTTTGGGAGTCTTCCATTATGGAATATGTAGGGTAACCTATTTTTAACTTTTAATTATTGTTAGGGATATTGTTGAGAAACCACTAAAAAATAGATAGTTCATTTAGATCCAGATATATTTAAATTTGTTATTTTTTCATGAAGCTTTGATTAGGTATGGCATCTCGATTTTGCAAATTATTAGTCTTAAGACGGCCTCTCTCTAGATCTTAAAATACACTCTCTCTCTCTCTCCAAACTTTTCGTATGCACCATGCTAATATCCATTAGATTTTAGTACAATGTTAAAATATGTTCGCATCGTAACGTATAAAAGGACACATTGATTGATGGTGAAATTGTGACATCTACTCACCTTGGAGTAAAGAAATCACAAGCCTTCTACCCTGGAGTAAAGAATACACTTCTCTAACATTGACATTGAAATAGATTTAAGAAAGCCAAGTAGATTAACAACTGCATATCCAAATAATAAAATTGAATTTCATTTTATTTCATTAACGAAATAATTACTTTAAAAAACATTACCGTCCATGAAACACGATTTAACAACTCATACTTTCTACATTCCCCCTCCAAAAATGACCAAAAACTTCAGTTCTTGCGTTAGAGAGAGAAAGAGAAAGTGGGAGAGAGATTCCCAGGTGCCACTTTATTTAGTCAACTTCTTTCATCTTACTCGTCATCCTTAAGTTGAGGCACGTCGGCATCCTTGGAAGCTTCAGCTTCATCGATGCTTAGACCAAACTTAAGCATCTTGTCAAATTCTCCCTTCTTCACAATGTTCTTTTCAATAACGTTGAGGATCTTGTGTTGCTGCAACATCTCCCAAATCCTATGCATTCACGGATGAGCTTCTCATAATTGTTGATGCAAAACGCCCTGCGAACATAGAGCTTGATGTTTTCCAGCTTCTTTCGAGTATCAAGGAGGTCAAATGGAGCCCTCTTTGAAACAAAGAGAATAGCCTTGAACTCAAGCTGGCCCTCAAACTGAGAAACACTTAACAGTAAGGTGATCTTCCCTGTCGTTGGTCAGTGATTTGTAGAAAGAAACACACTTCCTTTGTTATATCTTCTGGCTCTCAACCAATTGGGATTTTGCTCGTTAACCAGGTTACCAGAGCCCACCGATTGCTAACCTCCTCCTTGTATAGATGGGACAGCTGATGAACTCAGTGTGCTTCTTAACAGACGAACACAGTACAGTAGAGAGAGAGTCTCTTCTCCAGAATTAAGCATGTCAAAAAAACAAAAAGAGAAGGATTGATCAGGCCCTCCACTATCTTCTTGGCAAATCAGGATTACTCAATAATTCAATTTACCCAAACAAGTTTCAGCAACTTTTTGTGAAAGCTATGTAAAATTTTCAGGTTCCTCCTCATTAAAAAGAAGTGAAAATTCAGTACGTTTCATAAAGGTTGCTCTCATTCCCAAATTAAGAAAATTACCGAGACTTCAAAATTCAAGCTTTGAAAAATCATGTGAAATTACAAATCTACTCTTAAATCTTATCGGGCTCTACGAGCATAAAACTCAAACCACGCATTGACAAGAGAATGCGAGAAAAGGAGGCAACAATGGAAGAGCATGTGCCTTGGAACAATTGAGCAGACAATAGAATCAAAACAAAAGAGCTTTCCAAGAAGCTCACCTGATCCTCCTCCAAGAAGAAGAGAATCTTGGTACCCTGCCTAAAGGCCTCCCATTAGCATCCCTTGTCACTGTAAAGGAGCCACCAGCCTGTGACTCCCAAATGTACTACTCATCATCGTTGTGCTTTGTAGTGCACGAGTGTGTGTTTAAGAGAGAGAGAGAGAGAGAGAGAGAGAAAGCTGCGCACCTAAACCAAAAGGAAATGCACATTCAACAGCTTACATGAAGAGCAAGGCTTCTACGTATGGATTGAATTTCAACCATGAACAACATCTAATGCAATTATAAGAAAGAAAACTTTTACATTCTGCCCAAGTTATATCAAGTGAGGAGTAAGCATGGCAAAAGACTGGAGAAAAAGGGAGATCAAGTAAACCAAGTTCTAGGAATAATAAGAGTTCTGCCTGCTAGTATGGATTGACCACATGTTGGCAGCTGTGAAGAAGCTCTGTGATTAAATCGTCATCTCCTTCCTGGACATAAAATTTGGAATTCATATCAAGCCAACTGCATCGATTCACCCACATGGCATAGGCATGAAAACCTTGGAAATACATACCAAGACAAGCATGCACACGCATGAGAGAGAGTGAGAGAGAGAGAGAGAGAGAGAGAGATAGAGATCCCAGAAGAATAGTATTAGTTCAACAAAACCACAAATGCTATAAATCCAGCCATTAGATTCCAAATGAAACTATTAACACTTTCCTTTAGAAAGGGCTAGCGTTCTTCAAAGGCATTCAAGTAATCAGGTATAGAACAGCCAAGCTTTCTAAATCCATAAAACGTTCTAGCAAGGACCATTGACTATAACCCAGAACCAATAGACCTAGCCTGAGACCGTTCTCACACACTCTTCGAGAAGACAAGCAGGGTGTTTTTCGGAGATTGTAATGCAGAGCAGAAGAAATCCAAATATAACCAAAACTCTAGCAAGATAACTATTGACCATTTGGATCTCACTTAAACTACCTCGCACTTTTTTAGAATAGAATTTGGGTTTTCGATAATGAGTTCAGATACAGAGGAGAAAAGAGAAGGGAAATTACATCAGAAGAGTTGGTGAGTAAGTCTCGAAGGAAAATCTTCTGGTTACTGTAACTGCTGTTGATGATGAGGTGCAACTTGATGGATACTCAGTTCTTGTTAAGATGTCACTCGAGAGAAGTATTACTCAATGTTTGATGTGCAGAACAGTGTGTGCTCTGTGTTGAAGCCGGAAAGCATCCATGTGCAGGCAAACATCACACTAAAGCTGGCTAATACATACACACTAGTATATGTATTATGCATTTGACTTTTGGGATTGTCTACAAAGAAACCATTTAACTATTGTACATAGAAGTCACAATCATTCTTGTCCCTTAAATTTCAAAATGGGCGGTTGTAAGAGCGACATTAAATAGACACAAAGTTCCAAAAAGAAATTCTCGGTCTTCGTGACTTACCTCAAGCCATCCAATTTGACATCTAATGAGTGGGAATTTATCTTTTGTACATGGAGGTTACAATCATTCCCACTCATTAGATGTCAAATTGGATGGCTTGAGGTGAGTCACGAAGTCCGAGAATTCCTTTTTTGGAACTTTGTGTCTATTCAATGACACTCTTACAACCCACCCATTTTGAAATTTAAAGAACAAGAATGATTGTGACCTACATGTACAAAAGTTAAATGGTCTCTTTGTACACAAATCACAAAATCTATTTTGAATTTGCAAAGCCCTATTATACACATGCAAGCGAGGAATGGACTAGGGGCAATCTCCAAATGCTCACATGAATCCATCGAAGCGATAAAAGGGATTGCTATCCTGCATATCATATAATCCTCCTCATTGGTGGTCTGACATTGGCATGATAATAATAAATTATGATGATGATGATATAGTAGCTGGTAATTTCAACGACATGCTCAAAAATAGAAAGCAAATAAAAGAATTATGGCAAACAGAAGTCGTCTCCTACTTTGAGATGATAAGAGCTGTAACATACAATGTTCAGTATCTTTGAAAATGTTACAATTGATTATGATAGGGCCACCATATGGAAATACACATTCAAGCAAATGTTACAATTGATTATGATAGGGCCATGATATGGAAATACACATCCATGCACTAATCAAGACTTTTCATTCCAAAACTCGTTATAGTGATCATGAACATTATGCCACTGCACTTGCCTTTTGTTTAAGGAAAAAGTTTATATAACGTTGCAACCTTAAAATGTAGAATAAAGGTGCACCTAAAAAATCCCTCGAAAAAGGATGCTTTGATGATGGAAAACACTCTAATAGATCATATTGAAATCGAGATGTATAAATCTAAAAAGAAAAAAGATATTGCGTCGCAAAAATAGTGCATCTTACAACACATTATCTGGACCATCCATTTTTAAGATTTTCATGAATTTATAGATCTACCCTATTTGAATCATTTTTGGGGTTTAAAATTTTATAATTAGATAAAAATTGGATTCCTAGGCCATCCTAAGAAGTTTAGATACCAAAATTACACATCAGCATAAAATATGAGGTGCACCTTATTTTGATTGTTTAGGGTTGCAACCTTATGCAAACCACATCCTTTGTCTAATTGAGAAACTCTTGTTTTTTTTTTGAGAAAAATTGGGGAACTCTTGTTTCCCAACAAATAACATAAACTTCATATCACTTACATATCCCTGCTATCATGCAAGGATAATCAAAGTCCCTGATCCCATATGTTTTGACTGGGCTATTCGCAAGCGTGACACAGAGTTGAATGTGGGAAAACTGATTTCACAGGGTCCGTCATTCTTTTCGAGGTAACTGAAATCCTTCTTTCTTATTTCTTTTTCTGATTGATTTATTTTTATTTCTTAT